TTTCCCCTAGTAGTCAGACTGATTTGTCAGTGGTTTTTTTTTTTTTTTTGGTTTTTTTTTTGGGGTTTTTTTTTTGCATTTTCCCTTTTTTTATTATTTTTTATTTTGCACTATAGCCTAGAGACCCAAATGACAAAAAGAGAAATAGTGGCATGGAAATTTTTACTGTTATTTAGATCAGATAATTTGATGCTAGTGTTCTGCCCAGCAAACAAGGTTCTAAAAAGAGAATAAAAATAATAAAATAAAATAAAATAAGCCACTATTGCACACTATCCTTTAGCAAAGTATCTACCATGCGAAATACGTGCTATATTTTTTATGACAGCCAAAAAAATAGTGTGTACAAGTAATGTTTCCTTTGCTTTCATATTTATTTAGCAAATCTAGAACATTTGAAAGGTATAAATATATATATATAGATATCTATGTAGAACATAGCCAAATAAATATATATGAACTGGTCAATGTGCAACTCGGTATACACATCCTAGCTGTTTGGTTTGAGCTCTTTTTAACATCCTCTTAGCTGTACAGGAGCCAGATAGACGTGGCCTCCCTTTTCAGCCACAGTCACTCCTGCAGCTCTGGGGTCCCAGCCCTGCACCCCCTGCCCACCGAGCCCCACTCTGCCTTTCAAGGTGAGCAACAGCGATGGGTGCTGCTGGAAGCCAAGGTACACTTCCAAAAGGGAAGGTGGTTTAGGCAGAGGAGTTCCTACTGTAGCCCTAACAAAAAGAGATGGGCAGATCCCTGGCAGGGTGGTAGCTTGCTTGGGGACATTTGATCTAGCACAGTGCCACTCAGATGAGGCTGCTGCCGACAGCCATGAGGGTTTTCCCTATCAAATGCTGACTGTTATTTAAACCTCTCCTCGATACAAAACATACCAGGTCAAAAGCACCCTAACTGCCAGAGGAATCGCTTCTTGGCAGGAACTGGGAATGGTGGAGTCGGACTCGCTGTGGATTTCTCCAGGCATTTGTCACCTGCCATTATTTGTCTAAGGAAACTTGTTTGACAATTTCCAGTCTTTCCTTAGATCTTGTGATGGACTTTAGCCTTTTAATAAATGTTATTATATCAGATCGTGTCCTTGACAGTATTTTACTTGTATGAACCATGATAAAACATTAAAATCTTCATACTCTTCAGGCAGAAGTGTCAATAAAGAAAGAGAAGCATAGCATACAATATATGTCAAAGTAATGTTCCTTTTTAGCTTTCTCATCAAGGTAAAAACGTTTACAATGTATGCCATGATCTTCAGTTTCTATCTAACACCAGTTAGAGGTTCTGAGCTCACAGAAATTGTGTTATAATGGCCTCAGCCTCGTTGCTAGGAAACAATAGATCCCAATTTTTTTATTCCTGCTCTAACTCCTGTGCTGAATAGTGACTGGATACTGTACAGGTCTATGTTATATGGCTGCAGTTAAATGGTCTGATGCATTTTGCTCTGGGTTTCAGGCCAGAAGCATGCATTTTCTACAAGAACATCCCAGCAACACGCTGTAAATACTAAAAGTTAATATATTATGTGTCGATATTTGAAAAAGAAAGTACTTTGACTATTTCATTTTTTAAAAATAAAGGTGCAAACTGATGGCATGTGACCTTGTCTTTGTTTATACCATGTACTTGGGAGGTTCTGGTCATGTCAGTAAAAGTTGTTTCCATGCAGCTAAATAAGGGCTTCAGATAATATTGGTTGATTCAAAAGCTGGGGGGGGGGGGGGTGCTAGCAAGATTTAATTTTACTTCTGATTCACCAAAGTTCATGGATATAACTGCAGTTTTCACAGTTTCTGTGCACAGGTTGTTACATTTCATCAGAATAAAGGTGAGAGAGAGAAAAAAAATCTGCTAAATGCCTTTGCACTTGCAAGAACTGAGTGGGTGAAGTCAATGATGGTGGAAGGGATTGAGGAGCAAAGTTTAAGTAATTACATGTTCTGTAGAGCTGCCTCAAATAGATAGTGATGAATGACTGTGTATCAGAAGGGAAAAAGAAAAAGCCCAGCACATGCAGCAGAGAGGAGACAGTGAACAAGAGGGGCAGGAGGAGTGTTTTAAGGCTGAAGAAAAGGTTACATGGTGAAAACCAGGTTGGAGCAGCTGGGCTTTGTAATAATAGAGTATGAGGGTTGATGCTGGAAGACCTGTGTTGTATGGATAAGAAGGAAGTGAGGCCAAAGGGGTGTTCTCATAGAAAAGGGAAGAAAACCAGTCTGGGAAAAGGTATTGATTCAATGCTGCGGGCAGTCTGTCATGCCTGGAGCTGGGGAGTAAGGGAGGGCTTAGCAAAGGGAAAAACAGAGCTATGGCAGGATCAGTCACTGCAGAGGAGCAGCGCAGCCTTTGCTGGGGAGAAGGCAGAGCAGGGAGGGCCCAGGCAAGGACATAAAAGTCCCTGCAGGGAGCTGCAAAATCCTCTGTCAGAGCCAGGGCTGCAGCACTCAGGAGAAGGGGCAGTGGGAGCCCGGGGTTGCACAGGGCAAAGCAGCGCAGCAGTGAGGGCCTGCATCCTGCTGTGGCTGCAGGGGTGGAGGGAAGGAAGAAGCAGGTGATACAGGCATTGCCTGGGAAGTGATGCTCACAGAATGAGGCTGCTGCTGTCTAAGATCTGTAGCTCTTAACACCTAAGTCAATCTATACCATTTCCATATTACTCTTTCATAACTAAGCATCAGCTGCTTGTCCCACAGGTAGCGTGAGCCTTTCTTTCTCTTTCCACCTTGTTTGAGGTGGAATTTACCTTCTTTAAGGTGAAATCTGCAGCAATTCCAGGCCCTTGAGTACCCAAAAGAAAACACAAACAAGGCTGTCTTAATAATTTACATCATAAACTGAAACAAGTTTCTTAACTTTAAACAAAAATGGCATCTTCCAGCCTGGTTTATGTATCTTTTAGAAGAACAATGCACTTCTGGAGTCACCCATAGGCAAAGCTGTTATCTTCAGCTCACTGCACTGCAGAGCAGATGAGTAAGGAAACAGCCCTTGGGCAAAGTGCTTCCCACTACATTTATCCCCACCACAGTGAAATCACCTGCCAGGGACCATTTCCAAGCACATTGTTTTTTGCTCCCAGAAGAGGCCAGGTAAACCAGGAGTCTAGATCCAGCACCTGACACAAAAGGGCTCTCCCGTGAAGCCCAGGGGAGCACACATACTCTGTCAGCACCCAACATGTCAGTTGTCTTTAGGGAAGGATTGTTTGCAGGAGCACAAAGCTGGAGTGGAACAAACAGGAGCCAGTCACTGCAGATCTGCCACTGTATGAAGATGAGACCCTTGTTTCAACTAACCAGCATATGTAACGTGGGGGTACAGAGTAAGACATGCACACAGAGTGTATGACCAGTCAGGGGGGACATGGAACATTTCACCATAAATGATATTTGGCCTTCATTCAGCAGAAACTGAGCAATGAACTGAAACTGTCTCAAATTTGCAAGAGTATTGCCTTCCAGTCCCTGTTACAATGGGGCTCTGTTTTTTACTGCATTTATTCCCATTGCTAGTTTACAAGGAACTTGCTGTGCTTCACAGAAAATGTTTTATTGCTTGCACTGTCTCTTTCTTACACACACACACACAGCCACTTACAGGGAAAGAAAAAAAAGGTAAACCTTTCAGCCTTAGCAAATGCTGCTTGGAGCAGCCTAACCAGCCTAAGCTCGCTGAATCCCGCACTTGCAGCCCATTATGCTCTGTCACTCTTCATGTCCATCTTGCCTTTAGTGAGGTGAAAACAAGACAGGATCCCGGACACCAATTGGTTTTTTTAACACATTGGTGAAGGAGACATCCCCATGGAAGTATCTTATACGGAGATAAAAATACTATTGGAGAGAGGCAGTTGGTGCCTGAGGAACCACCACCAGCCCCATCAACTCCAGTGCCTCCCACTGTGCCGCCGAGCCATGCCTACCACCCTTTCAGCACAGTGCAGACACAGCACTGTTTCCTGAAACAAGAGGGCTGTGGGACATCCATTCTGTTCAAAAGCATTCCCTAGTGTCTGCCAGTTCAAACAGCATGGTACCATAATGCTTGTTAAACCCGAGAGTAAGAGGCACATACTCCAAATTCCCTGGTAGCCACTTACTAAACTTGCACAGCTGGCAAGCCCTGTAGATCCAAACCTCTCCTCCAGCAGCAGGTGGAAAGATACAGGGATAGGTAAGGAAAAGCAGAGAAACTGGCACAAAACATAATTTATTTTGTTAAATTGTATGCAGGGTTGGTTTGTTTCAACTACAGAGAACATCTAAAAGCAAAAACAATGCTCACTACATCACTAGTTGGTCTCAGCTACTCAGTGCTTAAGCTGTTGATTGCTTGTGCAGACTACAGACTTTGTACATCCATGCAGTAGTAGCCAGTTCTGATGCATTACAGAGCAGAGCCCCTGATGTGATGGGAAATCAGCAGGGCTCTTCATGGGGAAATACCTGTAGGAACTGACAGACACACAGCCCACCCAAGGCTTTAATGTAAGCAATTTTGCTAAGGCTAAAGAAAGAAGGGGGCTTGACTTGTTCAGCTCTGCATAAATGAGCAGAACAAAGCAAAGCAGAGTCCAAAGCGAAGTAAGGTAAAATTAGTAACTAATTATTAACCAGGAACTAATACTGAAGTGCAAAATATTTTGTACTTGAGAGCACAAAGATAAAAGAAGACATTACACTATTTAGTAGTTGATATTTTTTATCTTCTGACGGGGGGGGGGGGGGAGGGAATAAAAGAAAATCCCCTAAAGTCAAAACATTCGGAAACCTAAAGCTTCTGAATTTTGAGTTAAAAATTCTACGAAATACACATTTCTGCAAATGTTACAAGAAAACTCATGGAGTTGTTTTATCTGTCAATGAATCATTCTGTTCTAGAGCATGGATGAGAGGAGATACTGGAAGATACGGTTATGTCACACTTGGGGAAACATCTTCATAATGGCTGTGGGTGGAAGTCATGGCCTTCATTTATCCCTAAGAAAAATAACCACAAAAATATGAAAGGATGAACACTGCACAAAAATCAGAAGGTTTGTACCTACAAGAGGGAGGATTGTGGGGAGGGAAGGTATCTAAAACCAGTATAGCACTCAGGAATACATATTCAAAACCCATTTTCTCATCACATTGACAGGCCCTATCCCTAATGAGCACCTGGGTGCCAGCACTTCAATCATGTGGTAGCAAAGTTGTGACGTATTTCTGTCAATGCTGGCTAGCTCAGGTCAAAGATGCAAAATCTAAGAGCTCCATCCCTACCGCCATGTAGGGCTCTGCTCAGCCACAGCCAATGCTCCCTTTGCCCCATGAGTACCAGGAGGGTATTTGGCTTTCGCGTGGTTGATGACGGGGTGCTGCAGAGGCGTTATGATGCCTTGGTCAGGTTTCTGGAAGGCCGAAATGAGGTTATGCACTTTCCGAAAGTGCCTCCGGTGGACGCCAGGTGCTGTCTGTGAAGTCAAAGGGTGAGAGGTGAGAGGAGATGCTGGATGCTGAGCTCTATGCCAGGCATGGAAGCTTTGCCCCCCGAGAAGCACACACACCCCACAGGGAAGGAGTCAGCCCTTCACTTAGACCTCCTGATGTGCCAACTTAAACTGAGTCAATGAGCTGTACTGCTCTCCTTCTTCCCCTCCCTGCACTAAGAACAGTTTCCAGCTGTGTGGTCATATAAGGTTGGAAAAGGGACAAACTGCTTAATCACTGCAACAGAAACCCAGACCCTGCAGTGCTTATTAGGCAAATTCCCAATGCTCTTTTGCTGTTTCTGACCCTGACTTATTGCAGCCAGTGATTTAACTTTCAGCCTTGGGTTTTTCAGTAAGATACTTCAGCCTGGAAATAAATAAGACAATCTAGAGAGCTACCTGGCACTTACTGGGTAGTAGGAGTCTTCATACCACTCAATTCAGGCATAGACACAGTCTTTTTGCAAGACTCTCTGAACATTTAGTTCTGCTCTATGTGTTCATTGAGTATTCTGTCTACCCCTTTACAAAGGCAGCAGCAAAATGTTACCTATTTATTGGAAGTGGGAGTTTTTCTATCTTTCTACATTATCATCTTTTCAAACACTGTGAAATGAAACTGTGCCTGCTTTTAATAAAAGGTCCAATGTTTATGTTAAATCCTTCAGGGCGCTCTCCTCCCTACCAAAGTCATGGGAGGACAAGTATACGTCCTGCTGGCGTAGTCCCAGCCAAGGGACCCTGCTCACTCTCATCACTGTAGCAGGCTAAATCCTGCCTCCCTGGCACCAGCTGGAAGCTTCACACTGGCTGGGATTTTACCAGTGCTGTTTTAATTTCCCTGCCTCCTCCCTGAAAGATGGGTGTGACCTGAGCTCGTCAGAGACCAACCACACCCAGGGAAGGAAGCAGAGACAGGAAAACATCAGCTGCAGCTGGAGGCTGGATTGTCTTTGGAGGCACATTTAGTGGGGATAAGCTGGATTTAGGCTGCTGTTTCTAACAGCTGAGGCCAGCATGTTCTTAGCAACATTTACTTAAAGGTTCCTGTTTGCTTAATGGAAGGGTTGGTACGACAGATCTATAGCTATCCTTGCAGAGGATGTGCTGAAAGATGTACTGGGAGTCCTGGTCTTTCAGGACACCTACATTGTAAAACACAAAGTTTGCCTAAAATACAGTGAGGGAAAACCCAAGACCCACACATAGGAAACCAGTGGAGGTCATGGGGGAGGAGTTGTAGCAGGCCTATATAACACCAGACTGCAGATCCTGACATTACCTGGAGTCATCCTTGCTCAGGGAGATATCCTCCACAGGTCCTTGGGGATCCCAGTATCCTTCTTCCTGAGACACCAGTGCTCACCCTGGCACATTGGGTGCACTACCACCCCCAGCCTGTTCCAAGAAACCTCCCACTTGGACAGTACAAATCCACAGCGTCCTCCCATTCCTGCCTTACAGGAATGAATGAGCAAATTCTTCCTGGGTACCACTCCCAAGGGTGACGCAGATAATTATTTGCTCCTCAGTAATGTGAGTCACTTTTACTGCCCAGTCTGCTTCTGAGTAACCCCAGGAATTAGTTTTGTATTCCAGACCACTCCTATTGTAATAATGGCCAAGGAATTAGGCCTGTCTAGAAGTTATTTAATGTTTGCAATCAGTGTTCATTAATGTGCAAGTTAAGTATGAATTAATACACAGAGTACATTGAAAGAACAAGACCTTCATAAAAGAAACACTGGTTAGCATCCCAATTCTATCAACACAAACAGTTGTCTGTATTGCAAATAGTGTTAATTCTACACTTGAATTACCAGTTTCTTATCAGATGGGTGAAAAAATGCATTTTGTAGCAAGTTTCAGTTACCCTATATATGTTTTGCACCAATGATGAATTAATTTGGAGATAAATTAACTTTAAAACACCATAGATTTAAAATAATTTCCTCAAATATTCTGATATTGATGATGTGTGGGTCTGTAGGAACAAGGCTGTACTTGTCAAATTATAAAAACACAATATTTTTGTCACTTAAAATGATGCAAAATAATGCACTATTGCATTATGCAACAGCTGAAATGTAACAGGGAATTAATTTACGAGTTCAAGACTGTCAGACATGGCACCAAGACATTTTACTGATGGGCACACTCAAAATCGATTACCTTCGATGAAGATCAGACTATGCAGAAACATGAATAATTTTAACATATTTCATTTAATCAATACAAACATCAAAGAGGAAGTAGAAATTTTCAGAAGAGAAAGGAGAAGCACACACCTCAGCACACCAGGACCCAGTTTCTGTCTTGGACAGTCTGTAGGTATAAACATAACCTTGATGCCTGTGGAAGGAACAAAAATCAACAGGTATTTATTATTCATTTCGACTGTCAGGGTTCACAAGAGGCACACTCTGTTATATGGGAGCCAGTTCATCTGCTAACTGTTCCTTAAAAATAAATTCACCCATAAAGGCTCTATGTAGAATTAAAAAACTGAGACATGGGTCAGAAGCTGCTGGGCTCTTTTAGGATGAGAGGAATTGGTCTGACCCAGATCTAGTTTAGCAATATCCAGTTAGTCCAAGTTAAGTGATGCTGCTTTCATTCCTACCTCAGCATTTTATTTTATTTTTCACTGACCTCCTTTTGCTGACACACACCAGACAAACTTTCCTTGGAAAAAAGAGAAGGTGGATCATTGAAAGATAGTATTACTGTATTGTGATTCATTTCAATGCAGGTGTTCCCAGAAGCAATAGCATGAGTGTAATTTATTTGGAAAGCTAGACCCACACAAGCGAGGAAAATTACTCTTTGCCTTGCCCGTATATTTCTAATCCTCAAAAACTGGCAAAAAGAGACTTACAGGAGTATGAAATGTTCCTTCTTTCTAAATCTGAGTCTTTCAAGAATAACCCAAGACATACCTGTGTCCAGATTCAGTCTTGCTTCTCTTATGAACCCAACACAGTGAATGATTTACATGGTAGATTATTATACTGATATCCAAAAATATACCTCAAAAGCAGACAATCAATACTAGTTTCATGAGTACAACATTAGTTTAGATGGTATCAGGTAAGAAAGTTTGTATTTCATATTACATAGATTTACATAAATACACAGCAGGATTTTAGGGACCATTCTCTATTTCAGTAACAATTCTTGTTCTTAAGAAAGCAGAAAAATACTGTATTTCTTTCCAATTACACACAGTACTATAGTAGTTACTACAGAATAGCAGAAACCGTCAATGACACAGGTAGCGTATGATTGCAATTACTTACGCTCAGTGTCATGGTTCCGGGATAAATTCTTGTTGAAAACTCATTACAGCAACCTTTGCGAAGCAATGTCTGATATAATTTACCCAAGCAGGAAGTTGTTAACAGTTGTCATACTGCTACGACCCCACAACAAAACTGCCTGGTGTGATTTGTGAGCTCTTCCCTGACACTTGACTCCCACTGTGATTAAATGCAGAGGGAGAAGACACAGAGTCATTCCCTCCTGTCAGAGCTACTGCAGAGTTGAACTCCCTGAGACACTGCCCTCCTCCTCATGTATGGAAATAAACCTGATGCAGACCCCTAATCCCACAACTTCATCCACCTCTTCATGTTAACCAAGGGAGCTTTGTCCCCAGAGACACAACTTTCCACCTGGCACCAGATGGACATGAAAAGTGGCCAGCCATGTGCACTGCATGGAAACCTATGGAGGAAAACAGATGCTGCTACTCCAATTCTTCCCTCAGCAATAGCCATGCCAGCCAATATATGGTTACTGAAAGAAACATTTTACAGCCCATAGTGTCCCCTCCCTTTGAGGTGAGTACTTGACCATCCCCACAGTGGATTTTTTTCAAGCCTCAAACCCACCAGAATCACTCTGTAAAAATCTAAAATTCACTCTCTTTCCTCCTGTTTTTAATAATACACTGTGCATTTTACCCATGTTTGTTCTTGATTGTCCCAAAGCATTCCAACTGCTTCAATCTCTTTAAAATCTAATTTTTCCACAAATGGCTCAGTTATCTCGAAAGCTGCTACCATCTGTCGTTTCTTTCATCATTTTGTCTACTTAAAAGATTGCATGACTTGAAGTGGTTGAGGGACTGGGGTGCTGCCCTGACTCTGAAATGCCTGATGGCTTTCAGCACTTTGCCAGTAGAGTTTACTAAGCTGGACAAATTGAAAAATAGAGGTCAGATAGAGTAATCTTGAGGGCCAAAGCAAGGTGGGGTATAATACGGGCACCTACCTTGCATTCTATTTAAAATCCCACTGTAAAATATTTCAACCAAGCCCAGAGAAAGCAGAAAGGATAGATCTCATTAAAAACCCAGGAGATACAGAAAAAGGAACAAAAACCATGGATATAGTGTGGAGAATGGGAGGAGTATGACATTACTAGCATAGCCAAGGGAGAGAACAAGTGAGAGCTTGCCACTCCCCTGGCAAATGCACATTTTTGTTCCAAAGGAGGAAAGACTGAAAAGCCTGAAGGGGTTCACTGTGCTCATGTTGAAAATCACACATTATCTTCAGTTGTTGGCTCTGAAGGCCTCAGTAAACACAGTCACTATGTAGATGGGAGATGGCCCAGGACCACCCGACCTGCTTCTTTAAGACATGCAGAAGGGAGGAGGATGCATTTTGCTAAGAAGCTGAACAGCTAGATCTTCCAATCTAAATACTTTCCACTGGGATCCTTGTTTCCACTAAACGAATTACAGCTCTTCTGATAAGTACTCACCCAGTGAACGTGATCTTATCAAAACTTTCTGTTAAGCAGCAGGAACTTACTTCATTACCACTTCAAAGTACTTTTTACCTTCCAAGTGCGAGTGACAGGATTTTGATGAGCTACGTTCTCCCGTGAGAAAGGTTTACATGATTTTATGATTTAAACTACTCAGCATGAGAACAGTGTGGACTGAAGGAAGATCAAGGTGGTTTTCTTAAAACAAAACTTAAGTACAACAATTAAAATTGAAATTATACAGAACATTTCCTTCCAAACAGCAAAACTTATCACCAGACAAAAGCAGGTGGAAAAATGCATTTACTGGACTTCAGGTATCAGGAGATGAGAAATTCCCCAGACAGCATGAGGGGACAGCTCAGGTTTCTACATTTTACTCAGTTCAGGGCAGAAAACAGGCTCCTAGTGTAACATAATGTTCCTACATGTGGTGTGGCCACATAGCGAAAGCCAAAACACAAACCCTCTGTGGCCTGGACGTGCTGTTAGTCCTTTAGGGCCTCTCACACAGCTTATGCTTTGAAGCCATTACCTGTTGAGATGCAGGACAAGTTTATCTCTTAGTGACTCTGATGGACAAAATCAACAGGAGATGGACACGTCACTGAGAGAAAGATTTCAGACAGCACTTTTACGGTGACACTGACATGCCAGCATAACTTGTAGAAGGACCACCTCTTGTCACCCAGGCAAAGACCCAGTGAAGGGCTCCCACATCCCCTCATCAGGCCAAGGACAGCCACGAGCCTCACTCACTGCTCAAAGAGCTCCTCTTTGATGCCAGTGAAACTCAAGGGACAAGCAATAGTAAATTAACAGCTTGATGAATGAGGCCCTATGAATTTTTTATCAAAGGCAAAAAACACCAAAATGGTGATGAGAGGAAGCAGAAAACAGCCAACGTTGTAAGGAAAATACTGGATAGCACTTACTTACACTTTGCTCACCACTGATTATATTTTTATGTCATCCCACTTTTTCATCTCTGTAACAAAGGATGCATTACACTAGATGAGAACTGCACTAGCACTGTCTCTGTTGCAATGCTGGGAAAACTTTGTCAAAGGGGAATCTAGAAAAAGCTGCCATTACAGGAAACAGTCCACTTCATAATATAGGCTTTTTTCTTTATAGCTGCCCAATTCCTCTCAACGAGCTACAAAGGCATCATTCACAGATGACATACTGAGACAGCATCTGTCTACCTGTCTTCTTCACTCCTCCTTTTCAGCTGTGATCAGATTTGTTAAAGCTCCATTTGCTTTAACAGGTGAGTAATTACAATCTTCTGCACCATTGAAATAGCCAGAGGATATTAACAGCATGCTGCAGATTAAAATTAACCGTGACATTTCAGCTGCATGGTGTATTTTAAAATCATTTCCAAATGTTTTGTATCTCAGTTGGGAAATTTTATTAAACTAATTTGTATTCATTCCTGGGTCCAAAATGGAACAAATATAAAGGGAGGAAGTCTAGAGAGACAGGAGAAAGCCATGTCAGCAATAAATGGCATTAATTTCTTCCTCTTTACATAGCTTTCTCTTCAGATGTCTTTACACAGCTTTTCTTACCTGGTATATTTGCATCCTGACCTTATTTTGGAATTTTAATTTACAATACTGCTTAAGAACCAGACAGTGGTGTGGCCTACAAACAGTGATCCCGAGTATTATATTCTGCCCACTCCCAGTCTCCTAAGACTTGGCCACATTTCAGCCTTCCAGGCTGAATTTTTGTTTCTTAGGTGTTTGCCTCAACCTTATTTAGGGATGGAGAATGCAGAAGTGCCAGAAAAGGGGGTATGTTAGACAAAACAATGTTTTTTCCATTCACTTGTATTTGGCATCTTGGAAAGGAAGATTGAGACTGGGTGGAGTGGGTGTGGAAGGAAAGAAAAGGGGACCTGTGCCTATGCAAGCTGGCCAAGGAAAATTGAACCCTAGAAGAAAGAAAGACTACATGAGTAAGAAGAGGGATATACAAAGCTGAAGCATGAAGGGGCTTGAACTGGGAGCAGCACAAAATGCTGGAGTGGTGAAAAATCCAGGAATAGAAGATGGGTGGTTTGGAAACAGAACATATGAAACTAGGAAACAAGCCATGCAATGCAAAGCCATACAAGCAAAGTCTGCAGGTTGTACAAAATGACACAGGGTAGTCTCAAAACCCATATCTATTCCCCTCACATTGGGAACCCAACAGATTCTGCAGATGTGAGCTTCCTGTGTCACAGTTTCTCTGAAACAGAGTTAAACTCTTCATCTCACAAACTGAGATAATGCTTAGAAACCACTTGACACTATGGAGATGAGTCCAGTAGGAGAGGTCCTGGGGTACTTCCAGAGTAGGGGTCACTAGCACACAGCACATACCATAATGAGAGGTCAAGTTGCAGCTACTTCTGTCTTATCCGGAGTTGTTTGATGTAGGTTGCAGATCAGCCCCTGAATGGTCTGAAGAACCAACCTCAGGCAGCATCCCAGTGGTCAACCCTGGCATGGGCACCAAAAAGGCTACAAAGGTGGGAGACGGCTACCACAGAACCAGAACTCATGAGGTCAGGGGAATGA